CTTACACTTTTGCTGAATTTATTCCTGAGTATTTTATTCTTTGTAATGCTACTGTAACAAAATTGTTATTTTGTTTTTTAAGACAGGGTCTCACTGTGTCACCATACTGGAGTGCAGTGGTGCGATCTCGGCTCACTGCAGCCCTGCGTCCGAGGTTCAAGCAATTCTCCTGCCTCAGCCTCCTGAGTAGCTGTGATTACAGGCCAGCATCACCATGCTTGGCTGATTTTTGTATTTTTAGTAGAGACGGGGTTTCACCAGTCTCTGTCCAAAAAGTCAGGCTGGTCTTGAACTCCTGACCTCAAATAATCTGCCTGCCTTGGCCTCCCAAAGTGCTGGGATTATAGGCGTGAGCCACTGCATCCGGCAACAGTCTCACTTTGTTGCCCAGGCTGGAGTACAATGACACGGTCTTGGCTCTCTACAACCTCTGCCTCCCAGGTTTAAGCAATTCTCCTGCCTCCCAAGTAGCTGGGATTACAGGTGCCCGCCACCACACTTGGCTAACTTTTGTATTTTTAGTAGAGATGGGGTTTCACCATGTTGGTCAGGCTGGTCTTGAACTTCTGACCTCAAATGATCCGCTCACCTCAGCCTCCAGTGCTGGGATTACAGGTGTGAGTCACCATGCCCAGCCTGCTGCAGGCTTTCTTAAAAACATTTTGGTCCGATCTCCTGACTTCTCAGTCATGTATTATTACCACAGTTCCATGCCAATTCCTAAGGCATAGTCTGGTCCATTTTAAACATCAACTTCCTTATATTTTATTAAAAACTCTGCTCCTCCCCCAGGGCCAACTAGACATAGTGGAGAGGATATGGGGACTGCTCCTGACAGCTCCTGCTTGGTGTTCACTCCCCTCTGGTTGAGAAAGGGGAAAGGGAACAAGTATCCCATCCCCTAGCTGCACATCTTGAAGTTGCAGTCCTCTGTCTTAACGTCTGATCCCGCCTGTAGTTAGATGCTTAGTGCAGACAGGTGGTGGCCTCAACAGGCCCTGCAAGGCTCAAACCCCGGCCTGGCTGGACCCTCTGGCTGCCTTCCCCCACTCCTTCCCCTACAGAGGCATCGCTCTGTCTTCTCCAGTGTACTTGCCTCTGCTCCACATTGCAGTGGCCCTGGGAAAGTCTGCAGCTCCCAACCTTACTGATGCCCTGGGACCTGGGGCCACCAGCAGGAACCTATGTCCATACTTTTTGGGAACCAGGATCTCAAAGGGGCAGCTCAGCAACTCTAGAAAATTTGGTGATGTTCATAGCATTGCTGTGTTCACTGAAACCCTCTGACTGCTCAGGCATTTCAGTGGAGACGAAAGATCTCAAATGTGTTACATTGTTATGCCCAGGCACAGGGTTTGACCCATGGTAGGTACTTTACATTCCTATTGCTTAAATTAATGAGTAGTGAGCATAATAAGACTGGGGTGCCCTCCATCATTGCCACCATTCGATATTGCATTGATGATCTCAGTCAGTGCAGTAAGACAAGAAAACAGAAATACGAAGATTGAAAAGAGAAAGACTGTCATTTGCAATCTGTGTGATTGTCTACCTAGAAAATCCAAAAGACCTAACGGTTTAACAGGTGACCACCTACTGTGTGGTAGGCCCTTTCAAGGTACTAAGTATAAGATGAAGGAACAGGCTTTGTTCTTCGTGAGCTCCCATTTTAGTTGGGGAAGTGAGGCCAACAATATGAGGGGAGAGGGCTAGGCACGGTTGTTCACCCCTGCAGTCTGAGCACTTTGGGAGGCTGAGGTGGGAGGACTGCTTGAGCCCATGAGTTCAGGACCAGCCTTGGGGACAGACAAGACCCCATCTCTACAAAAAAAGTTTTAAAATATTAGCTGGGCATAGTGGCATGCACCCGTAGTCCCAGCTACTCAGGAGGCTGAGGTGGGAGAATCTGTTGAGCCCAGGAGTTTGAGGCTGCAGTGAGCTACGATTACACCACAGCATTCCAGCCTGGGCAACAGAACGAGACACTGTCTCTAAAAAAAAAAAAAAAACCCATAGGGAAGAGTAACCTGAGGTCCACAAAAAGAATCCAGGGGGTCCATGAACTTGGGTGGGGAAAAAATTAAGTATTTATTTTCATTAACCTATAACTGAAATGTATTAGCACTCTGTTTAGAGACAGGATCCTACTTTGTTGCTCAGGCTGGAATGCAGTTGCAGCGTGAGCACAGCTCACTGCAGCCTCAAATTTCAGGTTCAAGTGATACTCCTGCCTCAGCCTCCCAAGTAGCTGACACAGCAGGCATATGCCACTGTACCCAGCTAATTTATTTTTTATTTACTTTTATTTTTTGTAGAGACAGGGTCTTGTTTTGTCTCCCAGGCTGGTCTCAAACTCCTGGCCTCAAGCAATCCTCCTGCCTCAGCCTCCTGAAAATTTTTTTAAAAATTGGGATTATGGGCATGAGCCAGTGTACCTGGTCTTTAACTGAAATTTAATATTTCCTTCAATTATGAATATACGTAAAAAATGCAACTCTAGTTGCATTAAAAATATCACTAACTGGCCGGGTGTGGTGGCTCACACCTGTAATCCCAGCACTTTGGGAGGCCAAGGTGGGTGGATCACCTGAGGTCAGGAGTTCAAGACCAGCCAGGCCAACATGGTGAAACGCTGCTCCACTAAAAAATACAAAATTAGCTGGGTGTGGTGGCACATTCCTATAATCCCAGCTACTTGGGAGGCTGAGGCAGGAGAATCACTTGAACCTGGGAGGTGGAGGTTGCAGTGAGCTGAGATCANCCCCTACTGCCCGCAGCCCTCCAACGCTCCGCGGGCGTCTAGGCCTCGGCCCTCGCCCGGGTCTCAGTCCCCTTTTCCCTGCCTGTGGTCAGTCCACCGGTTCGTCCCCAACGGCGGCCTTCCGCACCGCAGGCTGGGCCTGGGCCTCCCGCAGTTCTGCAGACGGACAAAGGTCCCGCCCGTGGGGAGCGAATCGCGGATCACGAGAATCCTGCCCCGGGCCAGCCTAAGGGAAGGGTGGGCGGAGGGAACCACTTCCTTCCTCCGCCGGCTGGAGCGGGTGAATCCACCCCCCAACCCCTGTAGGGGGGCTTCTGCTTCATCCCGCCGTCTCCGGGCCACCCCTGCCTCTGGGTCTCCTGATTCCTTGGGTTCGTCCGCTGGACAGTTTCTGCCACGCAGGGGTGGAGGGTGGGCAGCATGTTCTAAGGAGTGAGCAAACCTCGCAGCCCTCAGGACTTCCCTTGGTTGGGGGCCTGAGGCTGCTCAGGGGATGGTGTTGGTAAAGGGAGCCTTCCCGCCTGCAGCCCCTGCCTGGCCTGGGCTACCTTGCTCCTGGCCAACTTGTACTGCCCCGCAGGCCCACCTCTGAAGTCCCTTCCCTGTGGGCCCTCCCAGCAGCCTGTTTAGCCAGTGGAATCAGTTCTGCTAGCTTCTGTCTTCCCTCAGAGACCATTTGTCCCAAACATCCTGCAGAAC